TAGGCTAAATGGAAAATCATGAACAGGAAGAAAATAATCATGTAGATTCAATGTGCTGTGGTATCCACCAATGGAAATGATACAGATTTGGAGAATATCAGAATCACTAGAAACTAGGACATGAAGGAGAGTGGGTTCAGAAGCATTTTGTCCATGATTTCAAGATTGCAGGTAAGTAAGAGGTATACAATCCATGGTTTTGTTGCACAGTGGAGAGGTTGTAGAGGATTTATTGGATGATATGACAAAAACAATAAATAATAAGGAGATTGGTAACCGCCAAAACTTGATCATTTTATGAGGAGTATATGCTCTTCGTCTCACTGTGAGTCCCACTGCTATGTACAGATATTTCTGTAATTAAATAAAATTATGATAAATAGTAAGGAAGTTCCTGAACAATAAGGTAGCAGGAAGTTGATATTAGTTCTCAAGGATTTGAGGACACTTATCTGTTCTCAACATCCAGAACTGTCCATAAGAATGCCATTTGAGTTCTCCTACTGGAGCAGACTTTCTGTGTTTAGAAATCTTCATTCACTTTTGAGGTTTGTGTCATGGTTTCCGAAACAGTGACTGACTCACTTGGTTGGTCAAAAATTCTTGACTAGTGTCAGCTCACCTTTGTGGGTCAAGAGTAGGTTTTTCAAGCTTTTATCCCGGATGCATCCAGTTCATGGTGGATTATCAATACAGACTGGGAAAAATGTAGTGGAATGGCAGCCTGGGGGCTGGTGAAGTAGTGGGTGCAATGCTGACAAACGTCCCAACGTTGCTCCACATATGAGAGAAACACGCGAGGTGACAGAAGTGAATCCCCATACTGCACCTCCTAGTCCTGCATCTCATGTGCCCTCAGAGTCGTGTGTGTAGTCTAAGTGCAGCAGATCATATTCAACAGCAAGTACCTGTGGCTGAAATTTTTGACAATTTGACAAAATCAGAAATTTGTGGCAATAGCAGGGCAGTACTGAGTGCTGGGAAAGCCTCACAGTCATGTGTGACGAGGTCTGTGGGTATGAGATTGAGACTGGAGGTTTTGTGGAGACAGGAAAAAACAAGCAGCTTCCACCTTCTAGAAAGACAGGGACCTTTGTGAAGAAATTATATCAGAATAAAATCAGAATAGACGAAGTATGAGTATAACACAATAATCCCTTTTCATGTGGATATGAAACACATTTTATGAAGCTTCTCAGAGTTCTGTGCATGCTCAGTTTACTGTAGGCTTTGCCTTCATATTTCCCTTGAATTCCCTCCTGACTAGTGAACTAGAATGAATGACCTCACTTGTCATTTCCAACACCCACAGGAGAGAATATGTGAGAGTAAACATTTTTTGAAACACAATGTATTTTAATGACAAATTTAACTATTATTCATTGGAAATTATTTCCAAGTACTACATTTCTGGGAGTAAAAGTTGTCTGGTTGGGTAGACATGCAGAAATTCCCCATTCTTCTTAATTCAAAGGCAGGGAATGAACATGAAGAGTCTAACAGAGTTGTCTTTGAGTCACTCCAGCAACATTGCTCAGTGGATAGAAAGGAGCCTGTGGGGATGCAAGCTACTAGACTGTCATAGGGCAGGGCTTCAGGATGCTCCTTCAGGTCTAGGACAGTACGTTGCATTTGACTTTTCCATTTACATATTCCAAGCCTTTACAGTAGCACACATAAGGGCTTCTAAACCCAGAAAACCTCATGAGGAACCTAACATGAGCAGATTTCAGAAACACTAGTTTTAGTAATATTCACAAGTCATGAGATCCAGACACTCTAGGAAATTTGCTATTCTTGTGAAAGTGAGGCAAACAACCCAGATACTCATAAACAGATGCACATTTGTTATGTATTCTCTCTGAGGAATAACTTATATCATTTCCTTCAAGTTTTCTCAGTCTCTAAGGGCCAGTGTAGTCCCTTTAATATCTGATATATCCATGAGCCCAGGAAATGCCTGGCCAATACTATGCTCTCTTGCGGGTCAGCTCAGCAGTCCTGTTTCTAAGTACAGGCCTGGAGCTGTGGTGCTGTGCTGCTGAATTATTCAGTCACAGTTGATGACTTTATCTCATATATTCCATTTGATGCACACTATAGTATAGCCAAGCCACAATACTTCACTCCCAAGGGTATGATCATGAAGTAACCAAAAGAACATGATCCTTCAGCATATATGGATGAGACAGTGTTGCAGTAAGGTCTTTGGGCTTATGGTGGGTGGCCCAGGATTTCAATGGGCAATGCCATGGACAGAGTTAGCACAGGTGTCCCTGCACATTCAAAGTAATAGACTCAAGTCTTTCAAAGAGGTACACACAGTAACCAGTCTGAAGGACATTGTATGAAGGGTAGAATTTGACACTTGTGATTTTATTGCCTGCTTTTGACTTCCAGACTAATTTTACATAAGCCCATCAAGCACATTTCCTATTCACATGTCAAAATCCTCATGGTAACATTTTAACAGAGAGCTGAGTTCTTTGAGAGCTCATCCAGTAGCCCTGTCTCATGAGGAGTTAAGGGGGGAACCTCCACACTTGTTCTTACATGGTTACTTATGGGAATGTCCCACATGCAAATTCACAGCTCTGCAACCAAATGGAGTCCCACACACCTACTTAAATTTGGTTTCATTTACACTCTGGGGAAACATTTTCTGGGAGGCATTGAAATTATCTAGAAGAACATGAAACACTTGTGGGTCTTCATTTCCCTGCTGATGGTTCCCAGTTGTAAGTATGGCAGGGATTCATAGGAAGATCTGAGGTTGTTGCTTCTGAGCTCACAACTTACTGTTGCTCTCTTTCTCCAGGTGTCCTGTCACAGGTGCAGCTGAAGGAGTCAGGACCTGGGCTGCTGAAGCCTGCAGAGACCCTGTCCCTCACCTGTACTGTCTCTGGTGACTCCATCAGCAGTAGTTACTGGTGGAGTTGGCTCCGTCAGAAACAAGGGAAAGGGCTGGAGTGGATGGGCAGAATCTATAATGACGGAGATACCAACTACAACCCATCACTCAAGAGTAGGATCACTATGACAGTAGACACATCCAAGAACCAATTCTCCCTGAGGCTGAGGTCTGTGAGCACCGAAGACACAGCTGTGTATTATTGTGCAAGAGACACAGTGGCATGACTTCAGTGTGAGCCCAGGCACAAACCTCCCTGAAGTGGATAGGAGCGCCTGGCCTGCAGGTGGTGCACAGGACTCACTCAAATCTGGGTCTCAGCCCAGAAACATACAGAGGCATGCCCCTTAATTTCCTGTGGGATCAGGTGTTTCTCCTCCCACCGACATCTCAGCTTCCCCACATCACTTCCTTTGCTTTGTGGTTGTGCTTTTTTACATTGTCACCATAAGAGGAAAGATGAAGGGCAAATCCTTAGATACACAGGATGGGGACAGCCAGAAGGACATTTCCTTCTCCAGTCCCCATTTGACCTGCTTTTCCTTCTTGAGAAAAAGAATGCCCATGATTCTCAGCATCCCTTTAGTCATGTATAGCTTTGATCCTCTCTCCTCAAACCATACATGGGAAATACTGTGACTAAGTAGGCTTAGTTGGAGTATGAATTCTTAGCACATAGTTAAGGTTAAATGTGGTACCAGGTTTAATGTGGTACCAGGTTTGTAAGACCACCCCTCGAAAATGAGTCTATGCCCATCTGGAAAAGTATGTTGACAGTGGAGTATATCTCTACCTTTCTCTCTGTTTCTCCCTTATTTCCTTGATTCCTCTCTCCTGCATATCTCCACAGTCACAAATACATCTCCTTGTCTCTTCCTTAATCACTTTCTTCAAAGATTTAAAGTTTTCATTGAAGAGGTCTTAATATTTTGCTTAGGTCTCTCCTGTAGATAACTTGAGGCTATTATGAATGGAAGCGTTTCCCTGAACGCTTTCTCTGATTGCTTATGTGAATATAGAACAACTGCTCATTTTTATAATTTGATATTTTAGCCTGCCACTTTGCTGAACGTGCTGATGATTTCTAGAAGTTTTCTGGTGGAAATTTTCAATTTTCTTATTTATAATATCGTGTCATCTGCCAATAAGATAATCTGAGCTATTTTCTCTTTTGTTCCCCTTTAATTTCCATCTCTTGTCTTTATAGCTCTAGCTGGGTTTTCAAGCACTATATTAGAGAGAAGTGGGGATAGTGGCAGCATCTGGTTCCTGATTTTAATGAGATTGCTTCAAGGTTTTCTCCATTCCTGCACTCCTTACCATCAGGCAAGTTCAACTGAAATTAACATTAACCTGATAAGGCTTCATGTTGTAATGGACAAATGGAAGAATCCACACCATCTGAGGATGCAAATCAGCATCTGCTGATTATGGGTGCAAAAGGCACCACCACATAGGGAGACATTTGAATTTTTAAAATTTTATTATTTTTTTCTATGTGTATGCGTGTATTGCCTGCATGTAGGTAAGTGCACCTGCATCATGCAATGCCTGCAGAGGGCAGAAGAGGCTGTCAGATCCCTTGGGACTGGAGTTACAGATAGTTGTTAGCTGCCATGTGGGTGTTGGAATTTGAACCTGGGTCTTCTGCAAGAATAACCAGTGTTCTTAACCGCTGAGCCATAGCTCCAGCCCTCGGCATTTGAAATTTTTTATAATAAAATTTATACTTCTCTTTAACCATATGCCATATTCTGATCTGACAAATGTAGTCTGTTCCTATTCACCTTTCAGTTAACGGAATCTGTAGATTAATCTTTTGTGTTAAGGTAATCTGCTAATTTTCAGTTAGTCTTCTTTTCTTCACATTGTCATGTTAGGAGAGCTCTGTGCCTTCAGGGTGGCAAAAGATTCCTTTGTAATATAAGAAAGTTTAAAATAAATCAATGAAGTACCACTAAGCAGTTAGATAAAATGACAATTTCAGTATGGATGAATATGATCAAATGCATTTTGTGGAATACTCAAATAAATGATAAAAATGAGGACAAAAATTACTGACAAAACTGAGCTACCAAGGTTCAACAATAGTGTGAAATTGGTCACTACTGCTGTGATGTGAGTTTGGCGCTCACTGTTTCCAAATTCCTCCACCTATTCAATGTTTTTCAACATGAGGCTTCTGGGATGCTCTGAGAAAATCAATGGATAGATTTTTGCAAGAAGGGGTGAAGGCAAAACCAAAGTCACAATGAAGAACTGAGATTGGAAATGCCAGGACCCTGGTGCGTACACTGTGGGAGGCTTCAGGCCCAGATCGTTACTGGTGAAATTGTCCATGAGAAAACTGATGGAGTGGGACAATCAAATCCAATAACATCCCATGTACTTCTGGATGTTGAACATGGAACTACAGATTTGGTTTGGTTTGGTTTGGAAATTTATGTTGTGCCTCCACTTTGCCAATTTAGAATGGGGTCCTTCTCTGGGCCAATGTACTTAGGAAAGATAAAACTTGTTCATCAGTATGGACAGGGGTTCCTCAACTGATTAATTTGATTAATTTTGACCTTTGTATTTTGTATAGTTTTAGAACAGTTAAGCCTTTGGGGAATCTTGATGGTCAAAATTCCTTTTACATTATGAGATAACCAGAGCCTTTGAGGATCAGGGATGGAATGTTCAAAGATGAAAATGGTATATTTTGGTATCAAGTTGAGGCAAGTTACACATGTAATATTTAATCTCCATGCTAAACTTGTCTGAAATAAATATCATGCAGGGGATGCATGCCAATAAACTGAGATAAAGGCAGAACAAACCAACATATTCTCAGAAACCTCTTTATCAACTCAAAGTGACTATTGCTTCTGCAGGGAAATATTAGAATTGAGAATATTATTAGAGTTGCTAAGGATTTTGCAATGTATAAGGCATTTGGGGATTAATGAAGCTTTCACCAATGCTTATAAAGTGCTCTGAAAAAATCCGGAGTTATTTGATTTATGCATCTACACTAATTTTATCTCACATAAACTAATGTGGGTTTTCTGCCTCATTTGCACTGTTTTACTACTAATTTATCTTTGTATATTTTTAAAGCATAACATTCTAATGGAGCAAAATTCACAATGGGTAAAAAATATAGAATGAACCTTGATACTTTTAAGCATATGAGTGGGTGATAACTTTGGCTTATATACGGAGTGAAATATCAGTGTTCCACCTCAGAGATTAGTAATAGTAGCAGAACATGCCTCCCTGTGCCCATGAAAATTAGCCCATCCCTGATTGTGCATCTCTGACAGAGGATCTCAGACCTGGTTTCCCAGGTGTTCCCATTCAGTGATCAGCACTGAAGAACAGACTGACCATTGAATTGGTGCTAAGCTATTGCTATAATAAAAGGCAATTTTAGTAGAATAAGAGATGCTTAATGTGTGAGTGGACATGAGAAAGAGGGACAGTGGACACATGTGACAAATTTCTGATCAAGATTCATTCTGTTTCAGAGGTTTATGTGAGATACAGCCATTAGACTCTGGGTCAGGCTTGCTGCAGCCTGGGGTTCCCTGACATTCTCTAGTATTGCTTCAGGATTCACTTTAAGTAACTCTGCCTTGTCCCAGGCACCTCTAGTGAAGGGGCTGGGGTGTGTTTCAGGGATGAGTACTGGTTATAGTAGTTATGCAGGCTCTGTGTAGTGCAGATCAAATATAGAAGGAGACAAAGTTAATAACAATCTGTACCTACAAATAAGAAATATGAGATCTGAGGACTCAGCCATATATCAATGTACAAGGGAGGCATTTCCATATGAACCCCCCCACACAAATCCTTGAAATGTGTGCAGAACTTCATGTGTACACAGCACATATGGAGCTCAGTACAAACCAGGAACAGGTGCAAAGGGTGGATAAGGGTAGGTGTCCTGTGGGAGTCTAGGTCTTCCTTTACATAAAATATACAAAGCCAATAGACCATGAATATGATATTGTGAACTTTTTCTAATGGTCCTGGATTTTAAAATTTCACTTTCAATAGATCACATTCTTGCTTCACAGAGGCCTTGTGTTATGTATGCAGCATAAATTCTTCAAAACTCCCTTGGGAATGGAAAGGTGAGTATGAAGCTATCTCACCCTTAGTCATAGAACAAAGACATATGGGGAGATATCTGATGTTGTGAGGTTACACAGTTCCCTGCAGATATCTGTGCATGAGATAGAGGACAAACAAGCCAGCCCTATAATTCAGTAAAAACAATTAGATGTTAATGCAAGTATCTGTAAATATGTTTAGGTTGAGATCACAAAATTTAAATTTATAATATGAAAAGAAAGAAGGGTATGTGTTGGCCTCAGAAAGGAAAGGATAAAACTGAGCCCGAGTATACAGAAGATTATTGAACTAGGATCAGAAAGGGTTGGGAGCTGACTGGCTCCAGGTTTCTTACCTTTGAAGAGAGATACACATGAAAACATTGTCCTGGATGAGATAAGAATTACACTCTTGGGCACTGGAAACCAAAACCACTGCAAATTCATAGATATCAACTCTGAAAATCTGGAGCTGTTGATACTTCTTCAGGGGAACAACTCAGATGTCAGATACAGATATTTCAGGATGGGTTGGTGGCCCATGACAGAGCAAGATTTATTTCCCTTGTATTCTAGTGACCTGTGTCTTCACAGATGCAGTAATCACAGCTAGGACTGTTGAAGACCTTGGAAAATCTCTCCCTCCCCAATGCTGCTGGCTTCTACCTTATCAGTGATTCCTTTTAGTGTCTTATCTGCTGGGCCTTGAGGAATGAATATGTACAGGCTCACACAAAAATCTAAGGGGTGTAACATTTTACTCCTCGAATCCTATACTTATTGCCCATCTCCAACTACATGTTCAGAAACCACTACTCCCTGCAGCTGAGCTCTGTGACTCACAAAAACATTGTGGTGCATTTGTATGTGAGATACACAGTGAGCGAACATCAGATTGAGCGAAGACACAAACCTCACTGTGGAGAACTGAGAATGACAAGGGGCACTTTGTTCAAAAATCACAAAGAAAATAGCAGTAGTACCAAGGTGTGCTCAGAACCACAGAAGACTTCTAGGATCACCAGGGGATGGTGAAGGACCTTTCAGCATAGAGACTTGCAGTACAGAACAGAATGTCTACAGAGAAACTTGGGAAACATTAACTTTGAACACCGGTACTCACAGTT